TCTCCCCTCTCTCTTCCTCGCTGTCAACTCCGAACAGAACAGCAGGCACGCAGGCCCGGATTTCCCACAAGGGAGATTGTCGCCGCAATCACTTGTAAAATCTGTGCAGCCTGTCCGTCCTCCTCTCCTCCCCCCCGCACTTACCTCTCTCCTCTGGTTCCGGCCGCCGAGTCTCTCCTCACTTGCCGTCGATGTGGGGAGCAGAGCGGTAGGGGTTAAAAGTAACCCTGCCGCTCCATGTAGACAGTACGCAGTGAGAGGGGAGCGCTGTGCTGTGTTGTGCTGTGCCGTGCTGTGCCGTGCCGTGCCGCGCTGTGCTGTGTTGTGCTGTGCTGTGCTTCCCCTCTCTGGGGGGGGGGTGCGGGGAGGGGGGCGCATAGCAGAACCTGGCCTTGGGGCGGCAGGGAGAGTAAATCCGGCCCTGCAGGCACGGTTCTTCTGGGTAATCTGGCAGTCTGGATGGAACCACCACATTGGCTGGCAGGTCGGTGCAAACGGCCCTCAAAAGGACGAACAGTGTTGTTCAGCACCACAGTGGGAGGAGTCTCTGTTACAGTGTGGCTGTCCATACCGGCGTATAATCAGGGTGCCATTAGGCAGAAGCACCGGCCAATCAGCAGCTTTCGCTCTAACTTTGGCCCATCTTCTGCCGAGTTCCCTATAGTAGTCTCACCTGCAGCACGAATGAACCTCCCTGCATGCTATTAGAGTCTCTCACCATTTCTCTCAGTCCGGGGTACTACCGAGTCTTTTATTCTGCAACTACAACCCCCGACGAAGAGGGACGGGTGAGCTTCCGAAAAGTGTTGGCTACTCCTGTTACTTTCACTTTGGCAAATATAAATCTACTGGACCTAATATTCTTAGTTGACCCTTTCATGGTCATCTACCTCATTGGGAGCCCCAGATGACAAAGGCGGCCTCTCTTGCTGCTCCAGTCCAAGCACCCCTGGGTAGCGGGATCAACAGTGCAGGGACGAAGGAGTGGAATGAGTGCAGATGGGTGATGATGCCACCGATGTCCCAGGGCTGGAGGTGACAGGAGATGCAGGTCACTGGTGAGAAGAGTCCAGGAACAAGTCAGGGTCAGCAACAGTTTGTTTATTGGACGCCCTTTTGACTCCTGCTTTGTACCTCGCTGCTCGGCCCTTGGCTTCCATTGGACCTCGCTCCTGCCTTCTGCTACAGTACCCTGCTACCCGTTCGGTTTGACCTTGGCTCTGGTTGACCTGCCTCCGTTCCAGATCCTGGACTTTCTACTTGGCACTAGTGTCTACTACATCCTTGGCGCCCGTGCTGCTCGCTGGCACTCCTCCTCTGTTCTCATCCTCAGGGTTGAGGGACAGGAGCTGCAAGGGATGCCTCCTCAACAGTGGCGTAACAATCACCATGGCGACCCAGGCGGCCGCTACGGTTAAGAGGAGGCGGACAGGTAAGGAGTGCGACCAGCCCACCTGAGGGTGACCCTGCAGAGCCCACCATAGTCTATGGTGGGCCCTGCAGGTTCACCCTCAGGTGGGCTCTGCAAGGAGTATAACTAGAAATCACCGGGCCCCATACAAAATTTTACGCCCCTGCTCCTCAACTAACGTTCTCCCCTCAGGTACGTGACCGGTCACCCGCGTCTTGACCTGTGTTGGCTTCACTGGTCTCCTCACAAATGATTCTTGGTGTCCAGAGCTCCCTCAACACGTTAACTTCTCAGTAAAGTCAGAAAGAGAACGCAATAGCTCATCACCCGGTGAAGCTCGGCGGCGTTTCCATAACAACTGGCTTGACAGCTCACCATTCCCCCGAGAGAACGTCTTGGGTGAGGAACTGTTACCGCCAGTTAAGTTGTTTGGCTGCTCATCCGGAGGGACAGCTGTGACACGGGAACTCTGAAGACTTAATCGCTGTGACATCAACCTGCTTATCATTGTTACAGCTGGAGATACTAAGCTCCTCGGGTATTCGCTCCGTCACTCATTCACGGTTGGTTGCCGTGGTACGTTGGAGGAGAATCTCGCTTTCTTTGGTTACTAAAAATAAGTTCTATAAATGTGGAAATTCTTAACGGATCTTCTGCTTTTCTAAGTTATTACTGCGGATGGGAAAGAAGCGTCAGAGCCCTTTTAACAATTCAATACCGGCTCTGGAAACCCAATGTTAATGACAATGGTGCACATATCAGCCCCTCCCATTGAAGCTATCGGACCAATCCTTGCGGACCCTGTTTCAAGTCCTCATTTGCATGGCCACAGGGGCGTCACAAGAGGGGTGCGGCCGGCACCCGGGTGACACCATTGGAGGGGTGACACCAAAATGACTCACAGTCCTTTTGGTGTCACCCCCATCTGAAACGTCGGGCGCTCGGTCATGGACCGAACGCCCGACAGTATTAGGAGAGAGGAGGGGGACCCGGCGGCATACCTTATCCCGCCGGGTGACTGTCCCCTCTTCTCTCTGCCGGCGTCCATCACCAAGATGGCCACCGGCAGGTATAAGAGTACTGCTCTTATACCTGCCAAACCCATGGACAATAATATGAAGTTGTCACCTGACCCCCCTTATACCGGCCCCCACTCTTCTGGGAAGGCTTCTCACTAGACTTTGGAGGAACATTTATGCCCATTCGTGAGGTCAGGTACTGATGGCGAATGAGAAGACCTGACTCCAAATCATCCCAAAGGTGCTCAGTAGAGATGACCACACGGGACTGTAGCCAACCCAACTGAACGCTTGATGACTTCAGGCCTCTTGAGGTATTGCAGTCCAATACATGACCGGTCACGCCGTGTCTTTATGGAGCTGGCCTTGTACACGGGGGACAGCAAAGGGTCTTCACCGAACTGTCACCACACGGCTGGAGGAGGTTTGTATGATGTAGCAATGATATTACCCTTCACTGGAGACACCGGAACTACATTATTTGGTGGGCGGGTCCACATAGTTTTGGGCTTTTAGTATATACAGTGGGGCAAAAAAGTATTTAGTCAGCCACCAATTGTGCAAGTTCTCCCACTTGATGAGATGAGTTGGGCCTGTAATTGGCATCATAGGTAGACCTCAACTATGAGAGACAAAATGAGAAAACAAATCCGGACAAATCACATAATCGGCTGATTTGGAACAAATTTATTTGCAAATTATGGTGGAAAATAAGTATTTGGTGAATATCAAAAGGTCATCTCAATACTTTGTTATATATCCTTTGTTGGCAATGACAGAGGTCAAACGTGTCCTGTATGTCTTCACAAGGTGCCTTCCCAGAAGAGGCGGAGCTGTTATAGCGGCAAAGGGCGGAGCCAACCCAATACTGAACCCTACGGACTAAGACTGGGATGCCACTAAAGTTCATGTGCGTGTAAAGGCGTCCCAATACTTTTGGCAATATAGTGTATGTTCCTTTACATAACACGTTGTGGGTTTGGTGATGACATCACAGGGAATGATGATTCAATGATGTCATTATCTTGGTGATGAGGGGGGGGGAGGAGCCAGAGAAGACAAAATGTACGCAGATCAATCTTCCGGCAGGTGACTTATAACCGGGCCGAGTGTCTGAGCATCATCTCTGCGGCTTGTGTGAGGACTGGTGGATGGAGAGCGCCACCTGCTGGTAACGTTCATATGACAGTCCCGGCCAACAGCTCCATCTATAGTAGAAGTGCCGCTGCATGGCGACGCCCCGGAGTTAGGAGGCTGAAAGGTGACAACGTCCGATACAATTCATCACAAGGTCTGAATCAATGCATTCCTTAACCGTGATGTCATCAGTCTGCTGCAGGCAGGAGGAAGCATTTCCTCAGTCTCCCCTCCCCCAGTGATCAGTCTGCAGAACCGTGTAAATCTCAGGACTGGATGGACAGTAAATCCTCTGGCAGGTGAAACAGCCCCCATACGTGTGTTTTGGGAACATTGGGCAGTGGGCGGGATGATGTCGGACGTTATGAAGGTGAATTGGGGATTCGTCATATAACCCCCCAACCTACAGTCCTCCCATCGCTTCTAATGTAGGAAGGCGTCACCCTGCAGAATGGAATGTTCCGGTGTCTAGGCACTCCTGATATCAGTGCACTTCCTGTGCCCAGGCACTCCTGATATCAGAGCGCTTCCTGTGTCTAGGCACTCCTGATATCAGAGCACTTCCTGTGTCTAGGCACTCCTATCAGAGCACTTCCTGTGCCTAGGCACCTTCCTAATATCAGAGCACTTCCTGTGTCTAGGCACTCCTATCCTGTATTCTCATAGCTGTATATCTGCAGTGTGAGATCATCTCAGGAGCTGCTGCCTCTGACCTCTAGTCTCTCCAGATTTGGTGATGTCACTTCTGTGCGACTCAATGTTCTCCTCGCTGGACAGGAATTTGTACCGGAGGACCTGCACTGCAAGGATCTCCCTGCTTCTGCTTGCTCCAGTCCTCAGATCCCCATTGGTGCTGACCCAGGACCGGGACCCATGGGGAGCACTATGAAGCTGCACGGCCTCTGGGGCTGGTAGTGACGTTTTCCAGCGTCCACATCATGGCGGAGTTTGTCACCAGAGGTATAGAAAGTATTTGTACAGAAACTCACGGGAAGTCCAAAACGTTAGAGTTGTCATTAGAGCAGGAACAGAGGGGAAATCTTGCCATGGGGACACCACTAATAGATTTTTCCCTCTTTTCCTGTTGCTTCTCTAGGGCAGGAAATGAAGGGGAATCTCCCGGGGGTCGCTGGGAACACAGAGGTAGCTGAAGACATTTTGGTCACGGGGTGACAGTCACTGAAGTCTCTGCGGTCACAGGACTGTAGGGAACGCTGGAGACTCCGTGTCCCCCTCCCCCCGGAGCTCTCACCAGCCTCTGCTCTATACAAATCTATCTCACACATCCTCCTCTATACCGGAAGAAGAGCCCTTGTATCACGACCAGAGCGGCCTACCATAGAGGTAAGATGTGATAGATGGACAGGATGTGACGATACATCGTTGGGAGGATACACTAGGAAGCGACGGAAGTGATGTAGGGCATTAGGAAGCTCGGTGGATCCTCACGTGGGTCAGTAATGGCGGGGTTGGAGCTGCTGTCAGATGAGGGATTCCGGCAAGACGGGAGGAAGCCGGGGGAGCTCCGGAAGGTCCAGTGCCGGATGGGGGTGTTCGCTCAGGCGGACGGCTCGGCCTACATAGAGCAGGGGAACACCAAGGCGCTGGCGGTGGTGTACGGGCCGCATGAGGTGAGCTGAATGACCTGATATCAGTCTGGGGGTGGACCTCTGATCGCTGTGTGATGTCTGAGAGGGGGACCCTCTGATCGCTGTGTGATGTCTGAGAGGGGGACCCTCCGATCGCTGGGGGGCCCTGCGATTGCTATGTGATGCCTGGGGGACCCTCCGAACGCTGCGTTACGCCTGGGGGAGGGGGACCCTCCGATCGCTGTGTGACGTCTGAGGAGAAGGGGAACTCTCCGATCGCTGTTTGATGCCTGGGGGACCCTGCGATCGCTGCGTGGCGCCTGGGGGACCCTGCGATCGCTGCGTGGCGCCTGGGGGACCCTGCGAGCGCTGCGTGGCGTCTGGGGGACCCTGCGATCGCTGCGTGGCGCCCAGCGGGACTCTGATCGTGATCAGTCCGGATCTAAGTCTTGCCCAGTTCCCTGATGGTCTCCATCCTCCGTCTTGTAGATCCGCGGCTCTCGCAGTAAGACCCTCCACGACCGAGCGGTGGTGAACTGCCAGTACAGCATGGCCACGTTCAGCACGGGGGAGAGGAAGCGCCGCCCGCACGGGGACCGCAAGTCCACCGAGATGACCATCCACCTGAAGCAAACGTTTGAGGCGGCCATCCTCACCCAGCTGTACCCGCGCTCTCAGATCGACATCTACGTGCAGGTGAGTGCAAGGTGTGGCAAAGTCCCCGCTGGGGGCGCTGTGGAGCCGAGTCGCATTTGGGAGCATGTCAGCAAGACCCCAGATCTACCCCCCCATATAGCACCGGTGTGTGTTACCGGGGTGAATGGGCCCCTGCAGCTTGTCACTTTAGGGCAAGACTCCAGTGTGCACGTCGTTACCTAATATCTATTGCACTGCAAATAATTACAGGGGGGTACTTTAGCTTTATTGCTGTCACAAGGGGGCCTGTGGGTGGAGTGCCCCTTTAACATGTCAAATCTATGCGGCAGTCACCGCCCTCCATTGTCTTTCCATTCACAGATCCTGCAGGCGGATGGCGGTAATTACTGCACCTGTGTGAACGCGGCCACCCTGGCGGTGATCGACGCCGGCATCCCCATGAGGGATTACGTGTGCGCTTCCTCGGCCGGTTTTATCGAGGACACGCCATTGGTCGATTTGAGTTACATCGAGGAGGCGGCCGGCGGCCCTCAGCTGGCGTTGGCTTTGTTGCCCAAATCCAACCAGATAGCTCTGCTGGAAATGAACTCGCGGCTGCACGAGGATCACTTGGAGCGCGTAATGGACGCGGCCAGCAAAGCCTGCAAGGACGTGTATGCCGTCCTGGACCAGGTCGTGAGGGAGCACTTGCAGGAGGACTCGGCGTTGCTGGGAGACCCCGCCTCCTCCTAATGGCTTCCTCCTCCGAGACCACGGCTCCTCCTAATGGCTTCCTCCTCCGAGACCACGGCTCCTCCTAATGGCTTCCTCCTCCGAGACCACGGCTCCTCCTAATGGCTTCCTCCTCCGAGACCACGGCTCCTCCTAATGGCTTCCTCCTCCGAGACCACGGCTCCTCCTAATGGCTGCCATGTGCAGGGACTTCTGCTGAGGAAGTCATGATTTTGAGTATTTAGTCCTGACAAGGAGGTCTGTGTTGTAGCAGACAGAGGGGGCGGCTCTGGGAGTGACTATATTGTAACACGGGGGTCCTGGGTCCAGATCCAGCCGGGGCTCTTATATTGTAACACGGGGGTCCTGGGACCAGATCCAGCCGGGGCTCTTATATTGTAACACGGGGGTCCTGGGTCCAGATCCAGCCGGGGCTCCTGTATTGTAACACGGGGGTCCTGGGTTCAGATCCAGCCGGGGCTCCTGTATTGTAACACAGGGGTCCTGGGTTCAGATCCAGCCGGGGCTCCTGTATTGCATCAATAGGGAAATTTATTTGCAGCTCACCAGCCTCTGACACTGGGCCACTCTCTTGGCTGACTTGGTAGTAGCGGGGGGAATAGAAGTCAGTGGCGTTGAACTAAAATTCAAAGCAGGTGTGACTTTATTGTTCTGAACAAGCAGACACAGATCATTCCTCGGACCTCCTCCTTGAACCCAGTTTTTGGGTGAAATGCGTCAGTGGGAGGTCTTAGGCGCGGCCTTTGTCGGCTTGTTCAGAATAATAGTCACGTCTGCCATGCAGTGAAATATTGTGCAGCCGGCTCTCATTCTTTCGAGTTATTATCCAAAATGTCCTCCTGCAGTTGGTATGTTCTCTGTACCAATCCAGAATGCCGAATGGTAAATAGAAGGGACATCCAGGCGGCTTCTGTGGAACAGAGACGGTGATGGTTTGGAGACATAAAGCCCCACAGGAATAACAGAGGTGTCACCAGCGCACCAAAGAGGGCTCAGCAAAGGTCTATTGAATGGCAATTTGTCATTAAAGGAGAACTATGGTGTCAGGGCTTTCCCCCATAGTTCTCCTTAGGGTAACAGGAGGACACAAACTAGCGTCCTCCCGTCACCCTAGGCTCAGTATATAGGGAGCTGCTGCTCGCGGTATACTGAGACGCCACAGCTGAAGCGGATCCCGACAATTATGTCTGGATCCGCCCAGCTGCGTGACTGACAGCTGGCTCCGCCTATCTAGAGGCAGAGCCAGCTGTACCCTCCCCTGTCCGTTCCGGCAGTCAGCGCTGGGGGAGGGGGGAATCCAGCCCCTCCCCCTGTCACGGCAGAGAGCCGTGACAGGATCGAGAGGTGAGCGAACGCCGGTATGTGTTTTAGGGACAGTTCACTTCCTGTCCTGTCGATGCAACTGGAAGTAATAGGGAGGGGGAAGTCCCCTCTTGCCACCAGAACAGGTGTCCCCGTTGAATGAATTACCCTCCCCACTTCCTCCCAGGACCACTCCATACTATCGAAGATCGGCCTATCACTTCCGGCCACGCCCACAAGCTGGTTGACTGACAGCGGGACCAGCAAGTAATCTTGGGAGATGTGCCGTGCGCGTAATATACAACGACTGCCTGTCCCTGACTGCAGGACCGAGGAGAGCCGAGAATCAGGTGGATGAAAATAATTAAAGACTGAATACAATCATGAGACG